GCTCTTACGGTACTAAGTAAATCGACCTCGTCGAAAAATTAATTATAAATATATAAAATATGTCGGATACAAAAATATTTCTCATAACTCCTTTACTACCCCTATCTAATTTTACGAATACGACCCTCGACGCTGGTACAAGTGACAAATTTGTCATTTTTTCTTTTCCTGCGTTAATTAAGTTTATTATCTTAGAAGTCAGCGAATCGCGTATCCTGTCGGAATATAGTTTTATTGGAAACAACATTGCGGAGAAGGGTTAGTGTAAAATTTCCATTGTTATTTTTTCATTCCAAATTTTTTTTTTTTTTTTTTTTTTTTTCCACGCATTTCCATAAAAACGAAAACGCCCACCACCGACCTCGACAATAAACCCCGTGTAATCAACCCTCGAGGAAAGGGGTCTCGTCGACGCTAATTGGTCCGTCGTATTATCCCCCTTTCTGATAACGTTGATAATAAACACTACAACGTTAATGATCTGTCGTGTCTGTTTTTAGGTATATTGATTTTGATAAGACGACAAAGAAAAATTCCCTAGACAACTCCCCGATCCATCGACGTTACGTCACCGTGAAAATTGGACGCTGTAACGAATCACCGTTTCGTCCCCTGACATTTAACGAGTCTAACGAATCACCTGTGAATTTTCGGAATATTTTCGCACCGGCGAGCGATACGAAATGAAATAGCTGATACCCCTCTGTCTTAATTTTTTTTCCTTTTTCTTTTTCTTCTTCTCGTCTCCAAAGCGGCGGGAGAGACCATTGCATTTTTAATGAGGCACTCTATAACGGGTTGCCTCGTACAGTTTCTATGTACACGTATCGCAGTCGAATCCACATAAAGCTCGACGAACGACGACTCGGCCGAACGAGAGTGGTGGTTTCGTAACGTAATTATATACATTAACGCGAAACGTAGGAGCGAAGTGCAAAGTGTATCGTGCGCGATATAGGCATACGTTATACGTAGCGCACCTATATACAATATATATATATATATATATGCATATACAAAGGGTGAGGTATATTAATTTTTAAAAAACTACCCCTAGCACGCGTAATCATATTTTACATAAAAAGTCGAGTCCCTCGTATAAATGCGTGTTAAATACATATTTTTTTTTCCCTTTTTCTTCCCTTATCAATTCTTCATCATTACGCTCTTCCCCCCCCCTCCCGCCAACCACCCCTCTTCTTTCGCATCCCCAGCAGAACTTCAACGTCCCTCCTCGACGCCGTTCAGTCTTACAACTCGTTTGGCTCGCCGGAGTCAAAGGGAAGGGGTTGAATTTAAAGGGTGGCGTCTGGACGCCGTCGCAGACGTCATCGACGTCCACCCCCCCCCC